ATCTGTTTAATTTCAATCAAAATTTCAAGAAATAATAAACATAATATGAATGCTTAATAATTTGATTAATTTCAATAAAATTTGGAATAAAATAATAAACATAAGTATGAAGAAGTAAAATAAATAAAATAATTTCAAGATAAATTTAATTATATAATAGAAATAAATATATATAAAATATAAATTATTATGAATTATATTAACATATTTCCCAAAAATATCACTCGCTAATTATACGATACTGGGCAATATTTAATATAAAAGTATTCTTTTTATTTCTCATCTCCTCTTCCAAATAGCTTTGAATTTTTCGACTATTTGATTGATCTTTGCCTTTAAGAATCTAAATTTAGTTATTACTACTAAATCTCCATCTAACAATTAATCATCATCCAAAGAAAATGTTTGTATCGCCCAAAAATCCAGTTTAGATCCAATAATTTGACTTTATATTGTCTTGAATAAATATCTGTTAGCAAAATGTAGTTTGCTGTAATTAGTATTACTATCCTTTAATTTAAGGAGAGTAAGTCATGGTTGTTTCAGATTTTGTGATTGAAGGTGAGAAGGATCTATCTTTATCACTTTTAAGTGCTGTAATTCTATTAACTAAAAAGAACCATTAAGAATAGTATCAATGATTTCTTGATCTTCTTCAGGATCCATGTAATTAGTCATTTATTCTAAGTTTGCTATTATATTGGATATCTTTATAAATTAATATTAGTAGATATTTTATATCACGATAACTATATAATATTCATAGACCCTAAAAGATTACCTAATTTTTCTGCTCTGACTTTGATAAAGTTTTGATTTTAAATTAATTAGGCAAATAACAAGGCCACTCAGCTTTTGCCATAGACAATTCCTAATAATTTTCAATTGAATACATAAAGAATTGGAAGGATTCTGACAAAGTCTTTTTATTAAGAATTGATGCTTTATAGGGAAATTAGAGTACGGGCTCAGATTAGAAACTTTTAAATCCTAAAATAAAATTTGATATTAGTGTAATCAAATAATCTTTTATGGAAATATTATGTTTGAAAGATTTTAAGCAAAATTTTTTCATACGAACCAAGGGCATTGGAAGATGACTTGTTTTTTACAAAACACATATAACCTAATAACTTTAGATTCCTAACCCCTATTGGGTTATTTTTTCTATAAAAAAATTCCTTATTCCAAATTTATTTTCTCCTACATTATTATTAAAATCAGCATAGGAAATATTTATAGATAATGAAATTAAAAATAAAACTCTGCAATAAAGTAAATAAAAGATGATTTTTGATAAATTTACTCATTCAAATTATCATTCTATTAAATAAAAGTTGCTTTTCTAAAACTACCCTCTCCTAATTTGAGGAAGATTACAATTTCAATTTCATTTTTGTAAGTTTAAATTCAATTTAATGATAAATACAATAAGTATATATTCTGTTAATAACAATTTAACGATAATTTTAATAAATATCAATTGAAGCTTTCTAAATTTACGATCTAAGTTCTTGTAATGCCAATTTTAGTATATAATGCCTATTTAACAAGAAATCTTAAATGAATTACTCTTATTAATAAATTAAAAACTAAGTAGTATAAAGAAAATGTCATTAAATAATCTAAGCTGGGAAAAATTAGAAAATCCATCAAAAGCAAAATTAAAAGAGTTTTATTTAAATAAATATAGAATTAAATTAGGTTTATTTACAAATCATAAAGAATAATTACCAAAATCAGTACCAATATATAATAGCTATTTAGAAACCTAAACAAAGGAATATTTCAATAAAAGAATTAGATCATTTGGTTAAACCAGAAATAGTAAAAGCTAGAATGATTACAGATAATTATAAGGTACTCACAGCTTAATTAATAAATAAAATTACATAAAAATAATAAGAATAAGAAAATTTTTGTATATTTCCATAAATAAAATAAAAAAAAACAAAAAAAAGATCAAAAACTGAACAACATTAAAATAATTAATATAATAAATAGCAAAAAGCTCTTGCAAGGACTGCTTATTTGATTGTATAATGATATAGCTAGATTTTGGCTTGTATTTTTCCTAAAAATATTTTTTGTAAGATCTCTTCGCCTGATTGTTAATAATATCTAAAATAAACAATTGATAGATTCAATATTTGATATTCACCTAATCATAATATATTTACTATCATTTTTGAGTAACTTGTTTCATGCAATTGATACTTTATTCAATTAATTTAACCATTGCGATAATATCATCAAGTAATTCATTTCTATACATTGCTTCAATTTTTAGTTTAGGTCCGCATTTAAAACATTCTTTATTATATCCTTTTTTGCATTCAAAACAATAGGAATGTCCGCAAGGAATAATTGTAACTGGTTGTTTTATGAACTTATTACAAAATGTACAGGATAAATTTTTCTAAATATCTTTCTAATGAAATATTTATAATATTATTACATCTGTTTTTTCTAATTGTAAAATTGTATCTGTAATTTATTTAGTATTTTTTGGTTTGGATAGCTGATCCTTCAAAGATTAAACTTACTTATTCAAATTATTAATTTCAAATTAATTATTTTCGTTCTATTAATCCAACAATTATTTTTGATTTCTTAATTATTCCATTTGCTATATTTTTTCTTATAACAATTACTATAATTCTTGTTGTTTTTGCCCTAGTTTTTCCAATTAGCCATTTAATTCTATTGAATTTTTGGATTGATCTTCAATTTTTTATCTCAATTAACCAATATCTTTCTATATAGAATAAGATTCATACTTCTTTGATTTTTTATAATTCTGAAAGTTATAATTTTAAACTTAACATTTACTCGTTTAATTTGCTATTTTAATCATATTAGTCTTTAGATATCTTCAAATTTTCCAAAATTATAATCTTTTCCTACTCTAATTGTTTTATCTGTAGCATTTAACCGTTGAAATCTCTTTATTCAAATTCTGCTATTTTATTTGTCTATCAGTTTTAATAGATTCATATTATTTCTTTATATTATTTTTTTCATTAACTTCCTTCTCGATATTTTTTTAAATATCATTAATTTAATGTTCCATTTTACTTTACAAATCCTTATTATTTAACAATAATTTATTACTTCAGCTTTATACAGTTAATCTTTTAATCTTTTAAATTCTTCATTACTTTCTTCTTTACTCTTTAATTATTCAGCAAATTAGGTTATTTATAAATTTAATGATTCTATCTATTTTAATAACTCCTATTCTTTGGTCTAAGTTTATTTAATGCTATTTTATAAAGCATTAATTTTCTCTCGATCTTTTTCAGCTTATAAATTTTATTTAGATGAATCCACTGCCTACATTATTCTTAATTAAATTGCTTAATAACTCGCTTATAATTCTTATAATTATTTGGATTTCTCTTCATTTTAGATTTTTTCTTTAACTAACTCTTATTTCATTGATTCAAAACCTTTCTCAATTGAGATAATCATATCATTTCTCTATTCAATATCTTTCTTATGCATTTCTAGCTTTGTATCAATTTACTTTAATAACTATGATTCCGAGACAGGAATTTATTACTACTTTTTATTTAAAGAGTCTGAAACACCATTATTACAACTCATTATATATGTATTGCTTCCAAATTTCAACTTTCTCTAAATAAGGTGCAATCTTCCAGGATATGAATCTTCTTCATGAAGAGAAGGTCTATTGTTAATTTTTGGCAAAGGTTTTATTGTACTTTTCATATGAATAAATTTAATTATAAAATTATATCAAACTACATAAAAGAATGTACTTTATAAATGAATTGAAAAGCAGAAATATGAATAAATTGAAAATATACTCAAAATTATAATTTAAAAGGAAGTTGTTTTAAATTGAAAGTAAATTAGCATTTAATACTTCTTCTTAATCGATATTCTGTTAAATCCTATAAATATCTAAATATTTCATTGTCCTTGATTGCATGACTATAAATTAAGGTTTAACTAAAGTTTTCAAAAGTTGGGATGAGTATTATTATGAATTATTTCCATTTTTGCGAAACTGCTAAGAATATTAGTAGGAAAAATAGAAATATCTCATGAACATATAGACAATACCAAAAGTAGTATTAGCAATATTTATTTAATGGATAAAGTTTATTTACTTTTTCAAAATACCAGACATCTTATTCTTCCCTGCAATTCCACCATACTATCCCAATTAACTTCTTTCCTGTATAATTTTTTACAACCCAGAAATTAAGTGAAGTTAAGATAATTATCATTAGCATTAATTGTTCAAAAAAGAAGTTTTTCAATTCTAAAATAAATAAAGCAACTATTATAATTTTGAAAAGTATATGAATTACAATAGCAACATAATCTACAGTTTTAGTTAAATCAATTTTACCATTCGATAGTAATTCTGGAAATAGAAATCTAATATTTTTTCTATTTTTACGTAACAGGATTGAAATATGAGAAGGAAGTACGAACCATATTGTTAATTACAATTTCTTCCTAATTGTTAGGTTAATGTTCTTCCTTATGATAAATTTTAGATATCATAATATATATAATTAATTATTTAAACTGTTAGAACTATTATTTATTTGTATATATATATTACTTAAACTGCGATTGATCATTATCACTAAGATACTTTAGATAAATTAAAAATAAATAGTATGTTTAGAATTTACTTAAATAAGCATACAAATATTTATTTTTTTAATTTTTAAAAGTCTTTAATATGAGATAAGAATAATTGGAATAGCTATTAAATATGAAATAGTACTAAGTCAATTAAAATAACGATCCAAACTTTGACCTATTACCTATATAGCCTACATATAAATAAGAATTGGACAAGGAAGTACAAAAATTAGAATAATAATCTCTTTTCGCTGATTCAATCGATGTTGATATTCCATGCTTAAAAAAAAACCGAGAAGAAAAAAGACTTAGAAAAATGGCTAAAATGTCTTAATTAACTGAAGGATGGTTTGGAATGAAATCTCAAGACCAAGATGAAACCATGAAATAAGAGTTTTTGATTTTGAAATTAAAGAAATACTTAGACCCAAAATAGCCAGTTAAATCAAGTGATTTTAAAACAATGCCTAAGTATTATTAGGTTGGAACCTATATTGATGGAATGGGTACTAATTATTTTAATTAAATAGATAATTATAATATTAAAAAAAAGAAGAAAAATTAGAGTGACTTGATTGACCAATTTTTAGAATAAGATTAAGAGAAATAAACCACAAAAAATTCATTTTAGAAAATTTAATAAAGGTAATAACGAATTAGTAAAGTCAATTCAAAATTAAGAAAGTTGAAAAGAATGGCAAAATCTTTAGGAAGAAAAAATAAATGATAATTTAATATTGTTCTGTTGATATCTTATTTAATTTTAAGTAGAATTACTATTTTGTCTAATCCAAAAAAGTAGTAGAAACTTCATGTCTTCTAAATAAATTATTTAATTAAATGATTATTTGTAATTAAATGATTTGGATTGATAAAGATTATTAATTATTTGATTTCGATTGATAAAATGAATATTAATTATTAAATAATAGAATGACAGAAGAATTAAATTCAAGTCTTGACTCTTTAGAATTAGAAATCTATCATCGACCTAATCCTAAGATATAATCTATTCTTAATTACTTAAGAAAAATCGATTTAAAATTTTGCACTAATCCTAAAAAAAAATAAGAAGAATACACATAGAGAAATACTGAAACTTCTAAAGAAGGATTTTCGTTGCAAAATAATAAGTTTTTTAATCGAAAATAAACAAATAAAAATATTGACTGTGCCGTTCTTTGAAAATCATTTTGATTATCTATTTTGTTTATCTCAATCTATAAATATATATCATTATCTACCCTCTATTTCTTAGAATTAAAAAATAGTATATTCTAAACAACTATTTAACAACCTACGATTTAAAAATCCTCTTTCTTATTCTCTTAATATGTCATTATTCATCAACAATGTTTTATTGTAGAAGACTTGCAATTAAAAATCTCAAAAAATGAGGAGTTAATAATGAAAAATTTCAAAATGGAACTTTTTCCAATTATTTTTTATTATCAATAAAAAAGTTTATAATATTATTGAACAGTTTATAAAGAATATCATCAGTTAATAATACTTTCTAAAATAATCAATTTTAATAGGTGATAAGTTATAATAACTCTGTTTTGGAATTTATTTAAAATAAAAAAATAATTTTATTGTTCTAAATCAATTTATTTGATATCCATATAAAAAATCATTTAAAATCAAAGAATCTAATTTTTTATATAGATGTATGTATTAATTTTGCTTGTTTCAGTTTTGCAGATTTTTTTAGGAATAAGGGTAAAAATTGACTTTTGACATCACAATATTTAACATTAATTTTTCATCAATTAAGAGAAATTTCAGAAAATTTCATTCTCATTAATTATTAAAAATTAGTAAAATTGTATAATAGATAAATTACTCCATTTGACAATGGTTAAGCATTTCTAAATATTGTTGACCTCACATTTACATTAATGTGTAACAATTTTTATATTGGAATATTTTAAAATTCTCATTTACAATTCATGTTTCTTTGCTGGATATTAGATAGTTGGATAATTGAATTTTCAACTTAACTTCTTTCAATTTATTTCTTTAAAGTAAATGTACCTAACATTGAAAAATCCACAAAAGCTACCCTTAAGATTCTAGATATATTTTCTATTTTATTGGTTAGATTAAAAATATATTAAATAATTATAATATTTTAGTTTTATAAAAGTAAAAAAAAAATGAAATAATTAAATGTAATATTAATTATGCATTTTTAATTTTTTAATGGAAAGATTCCATAAAGAGATTCATACATTGCACCATTAAATGACCCAATACTTTTTTTTAGTATGCAGTTTCCTTAAAATTTTAGAGTTATATCTCCAAATTAAAAAACTCCCAATTTAACCATCATATAACCCTATATTGTTTTGCTTCAATATCTTATGTATAATATTTTCTCAGTCATTTAGATGAATTTTTAAAGATCATGGTTTCTTTCTAATTAAAACTCAGATTTTAACATTGAATTATCATCCTAGATTGCTTTAAGAATGCATCAATTAAAATTGATAGAAGAAATAAAATTGTGGAAACGATTTTGCAATTCATGAAGTTGGCAACATGGGATTTCTAAATGATGTAGGATTTTGGATTAATTATTGTAAATTTTGGAATTACCACACTGCAAAATGTTATTCTTAATATTTACTATTTCATAGGCTTTATAATATTGGTTCAACCAATAACTTCAAAGAATGAATATTGCCCAAAGACCTTAACACTCATGAAATTATTATTAATAACTTTAATATATGTTTTACAATAACAAAAGGTTATAATGATAATTACAATCGAAAATGAGAGGTAGTTTATGAATTAATTTGGTGGATTTGTATTGTTTTAATTTAATTAATGAGAAATTAAGGAGTTTAAACTATAGAGACAGGAGCTTATAATCATTTTTTGTTACCTCCTATAACTGAACTTTTAAAATCAGGAAAATCTTAAATAATCTTATGTAAGAACTTATAATAAAAATTCAAATTAAGATCAATTGATTCTAAACCAACAATTTCATTTAAATAGGAGTAAATAAAGGAAAATAGGAAAAATAAAGAGTTAGTTTTACATCAACTACATCTACCCTTAATAAAGCCTGAATTGCAAATTGCCAAATCGAAAATAAAAGAATAAATTTTTTCAACAAATAGACTTATTGATAATATTTAACTAATCAGTTGTGTATCAAGAGCAAGGAATCTATCTTACAATGATTAAATTAATAATACAGAGAGATTACACTAATTTTCGATTCGAGGAACGCAAAGTTAAATCTAAAGTAGAATACTTGCTTGATAATATGTTTCAATTATAATTAAATATAAATTGGATATTATGAATTTTAAAGAATAAACTGGAATGTAATTATATTATGATTCGACAATAAGCCATAATAGACATCATAGTTATATTGATTTTAACTAAAACAATTCCAAATTCAATTCATTTATTAGTTTGAAATCTCCCACACATAGAAAACATCAGATTGTAACGGATTAGAGAAAAAATATTAAGTTCAAGAAGTTAAATTCATAGAATGATGGAAAATTTCTCTCGAAATTATGATTTAATACAATAATCAGGAACTCACTCCTTAATTGTCACCAGTAGGAAGTTTCACAGAAATAAAAAAACAGATAGATAAAAGACATGATGGTTCTTTGACTTTACAAGAGTTGAAATCTAATTAAACAAACGTAATTTAGATATACTACGGTAGAAATTAAGTTGATTGTAACAAGATTCAGGTTTAATTATTTCTATGTGAGAATATATGATAGAGAAAGTCCGTTGCAAGCTTATGTAAGAGGTGAAAATTCGAAATTACAGACATTTAAGATGAACATTTCAACAGTAGCCCAATTTCCTACTAGTTTTAACTGTGAACTAAGCAATATAATCGAAATACTTTAAATTTGCAGATCAACAACAGAGGGATACATTCTCTATGAAGAATTTATACATTTCAATTTATTCAGAAGAGGATTGTCTTATAACAATCAACTTTCTTTTTGGTCATTACTTTAAGAAGAAAATAAAAATGATAAAGGATGAATTCGATTCAGAGAAATCTAAGCAAAGTATTTAGAATATACTATGTTTCATAGAATTATATTTGTTTTATAGTCCAAGATTAGATCCAAGTCAGATAGATAAGATAACTAATAATGTAAATGCTAAACAATATTAAGAGAATTGTAATATTATATTTTGATTAAAGAGATTGACTAAAAGATAAAGATAAGTTAAAAGCTGTTAAATAAAGAATTTTGTAAGCAGTTGAAAGAAAAAAAGAAATTTAAGAGGATAAAAGAATGAATATCATAAGAAAATTAAAAGCAAATGAATCTTTGAAAGAAATTAGAAATGTATAGAAATAAATCGAAATTTAATAAAAATTGAAATTTAGAAATCAAATTTCTTGGATTGGATTCATCAAAATAGCAATATATGCAACTAGAATGAAAGAAAAGATGGATGTAAATTTTTTCATATTATATAAGCAAATGAAATGACATAATAAATATTTAGCAAAAGGAAGATTGATAGTTTGGTAATATAAGACTATAACAATGATAAAAATTAAAGGAATGGAGCAACTGTTGAAGAGATAAGCCGATTCAAAATTTGTTTATCAATTAGAATATTTATATAACAACTAAAACAGTTCTCAAAAGCAAGGGCTATTAAGGTTGTTTTATAATTTTTACATGCTACTCATTTATACACTTGATGTTTATAAAAACATCATTATTTTGTTGAAAAAGTTAACTATGTTAAGCGTGTGTTTAAGAACCTAAAATTGAAACACAAAGCCTATAGAGATAGAATATGGAGGCTTTTGAATAAGAATGGTTAAACTATTATTCTTGAATTGATTAATAAACATAGTCAAATAAAAAAGAGACAATATCATACTGATAAGTATCAAATTATTATTTAAATGTTGATAGCATTTTATTATTATAGATAATGGATGATTTCATTAAATAAAAGAAATAAAAATGTTCACAATATGCTCAAAATTATATTCAAGAAAAAAATAAGAAGAAAAAAGTACTTGACTTCACTTTAAGTCTGATGCAAATATTTAGTGCTCCAACTAACGAAGATTTAATAGAAATATATAAAATATATGCAATCTAAAAAATATCGTAAATTAATGATTCAATCAATTGAAATTATCAAAATGCATTTTCTCTTTAGAAAGCATATAAAAATTATTATGTATAAATTAATTAAATTATGGATGGCTATTATGCTTACGAAAGTGAAAGAAATCAGATTGACTATATTTGGAATAATGTATGTAATAATTCAATGTTTTTATTGTTACTTTCTCATGGCTCTATAGAGGTTTTAGACGAGTTCGATCTTTCTTTTTCCTCTTCTATTTGTACCCAATCTCTTAGCTGCTAATTTTCCTGCCTTCTTTAAATCTTTTGGTTGATTTGTTTTGAACAATTCAATAATTCTCTTTTCATATGGGCTCAAACCTGCTACTTCTTAGATGATCTTTCTCACTTGTAAGACTCTCTTACCCAAAGTTCCCTTTCTTTAAGAAGGTCTTCTTCTTAATTATTTCTTTGTTAATGATGATGTAATAAATCCTCTATTTAAACCAACTGCAATTCCTGTTCTTCCCATTATTTTAAAAATGATATTTTTATTTTTAAATAATAATCACACAATAACATCTTTATTTCGCTAACTAACAAATACTTTGATTTCCGATTTCGATGTTTTTATGATCTACTCTAAGTTATTATATTGTAAGTAATTTGAACATTCTCGATATCTATACAATTTTAATCAAAATGCCCAAAATAATACTCATTTTTTATTGTAAGATTCATAAATACGCTTTATCTAACTATTATTGTTGATGAGAATTCTACTACTTTCTCAGCAGATTCTCATTTCATATTCATTAATATTGGAAACCTTATAAGCGAATCCAAATTATAATATATTTAATCTATTTAATCTATTTTAATACATGCAACGGTAAATTTTAAGGATAGACATTAAATAAAATTAATGCTCACTTAACATTAGTAGATTCTGATAGAATTGAGGATTTTAAGCTAAAATATAAATTAATATCTCATTTGCTTTGAGCTTGCAAAAAAAAATAATCTAAAGTTATAATCTTAATTGATTTCAAATATAATCATTTAATCCATTTTGTTAATATTTTCCTTATAATAATCATTGAGAAGATTTACAATATGTTTTATCAATAATTCTTAATCACCAAAGCCTTTGCTTATATATCATTGATTAACATATAAGAATATAAGTTATTGATATATAAGAAATGATTCTTTTATAATTTCGACCTTTATTTCAAATTATCAAAATGATTATCCTAACTATAGATACCTTTTTCATTTATGAATCAAATATTATTACATCAAAAACTGACAATTAAATTATAATTGGATGAGCAAGATTTGGAATTCTTACTCTGTTAAAAGACTACTAATAAAAACTAATTATAATATCTAATTATTCGTTTACATGGTAATAAATCAAAATATTTTTAACCTTTATTATTGCTTTATATCAATTTAGAATTCATATTTGATTTCTTAAGATATGTACAGAGTAGTCTCTTATTTAAAGGTTGTTTTAGAATATATATTTCTCTTCTTGTCAAAAAAAGTCTTGGAGTCTTTGATTCATTAATACTTAAATTATTTTTGTTACCATATTCTAAATGTGGTAGATTTAGAATATTATTAATGACAGTTTTAATTAATTTTAGCAAAGTTATTTTTATAAGTTTCAGTTTTAATTCTAAATTAACCACAATTTGATATTTGTTTAAGTATCATTTGACTATTTTTCTATTTCTAAAAATATTTTAATTTAGCATTATCATGATTTTAATTATTCATCGTCTTTTATTAAACTTTATTAAATAGAATATGAATTGATAGGTTTATTTTAGTATTTGTATACTTCTCTTTAGGATATGTTTTACGAATATTGTTCATCAAATTTATGATTGTATTAGCTAATTCCTGGGATTTAGGACTCACAAGTATTTTTCTAAATAATCTATTTGAATGTTTATCACATAAAAATTAAAATAACTAATACTATAATGAGTAGGAGATCCAACTAAATCATATCTTCGTTAGATGGCCTTACATGTTATGGCTAAATAGATAACTAGGGTGAGGCTGGAAATTAGAAATAATTTATATTGAGTCTATTTATATCTTTTAGAAATGAATATTTTCTTTTTATTTCTCCCACAACAATCTAAACAACTACAACTTGAAATTAATTTTTTATTATCAATTTGATTGATTTATTGAAACTGCATTGAATAATTATAACTAAGACTTATACATCCTTATAGTTTCTTAAAATGTACTTTTTCCTAAGCATTTCTCAAATTTAAAGATTTTATAGATGAGTCTATTGTCCTAAATAGAAGTCTTTATTAGAAACTATTAACTGAATGTTTTCAATAGATTTGATTCTGGTTAAATTTCAAATAATTTCATAATTTTATACTTATCTAGTATTATTATTATTATTGATGAAAATGAATTAGATATCTATTTAAGATGTCTAGATAATAAAATATTATCATTCTAATCAATATTTTTGTATAATTATGAATGTATTTTTTATCACCATTCTGGTTTTGGTCTTTATTTCTTTGCTATTTCTCCTCTTGCCAAATCCGGGAAGTTTTCTTCGCATGATAAGGGTACATCTTTGAAATAGTAATTGCCATAAGTATTGTTTTATCTCTCTCTCTCATATGACCATTATCTTTCTCCAAGTAAACAGTGTCTATAAAACTTAACTGCAGTCATTTTTGTGACTTACCACCAGAGATAAGATGCTCCGAATAAATACAACCCATATCCTGCCAAACCCACATATCCAAAACTAATATTAGTGATCACATTCACATACTTGTAAAAGAATGAAGTTTATTTGATACTTGTTATACCTCTTTATCCAATAGGCAAAAACATTTGTCTCTAAGTTAAAGCAGCTTTTTAATATTCACATTCAATATATACCTTATAAAAAGAATCCAGTAGTGCATATCCAAACAGGGAAGATTCGCACAAAATTGAAGCATTTCAGATCTCTCTCAACAAAATCTTGAATGTTTCTTGCCACATGAATTCTGAATAGAATAAATAAAAAATATTACCTCTGTAATTTATTTACAAAATATGTTCTTGGATCTATTTGCTTACCTTCTTGTGCATTTTCTTGCATGATTTCAACATATCTTTTATAAGCTGGGTTATCCCCATGTTAGTAAAATAACAATGGGTCATACAACTTTTGAATTTCCTCTTTCAGATTTTTGGCATCTGCTTTAGACATCTTAATTATATATATATAATAATGATTTGATAAAATAATCATTCACTAATTATCTTTATTCGAGAGATTAATATCACTTAGAATCTATCTTATAATATCACAGATAAATTAACGTACTTAGTAGAAAATACTAATATAACATTCTGATACCTCTAAATTGAAATTAGAACATTTTCAATAAATCAGATTATAAGTTATTTCTTTTCCTCTTTTTACTATTAATTTTATCAAATAGATATCTCGTAATTCATTTATTTCTCCAAATTATTTTCTAATTTCTCTATTCTAATTAGCTATAAATCTTTTCTTAGTTCTAATTAAGACTCTTCACTCTTTGAAGATCAATTAAAACCTTCAAAAGTTAAATCAGTAGTTACATCAGTCAATAAATTAACTTTGAAATTGGTATTATAAGATTTATTAAGTGTAATAAAATTTCAAATAGTTTAAAATTGTAAAATTAAATTCTCCATGATAAATTATTATTTTATTAAAAGATTGAATTTCTTAATGAATTTAGCTTGAAATTTGATTCAAGTATTACTCGATATCAAAAAACTTAATTTTATGATTTCCCTATCTTGTTAGGGAAATCTAGCTTTTCCTTACGAACTAAAATCATTATCAAATCTATAGTTTAATTTGACAAGTTAGATAATGTTATCTGTAGTAATTGCTGATCCAAAAATAACTTTTTAAGAATATACATATAAATAATAGCATAAATGGAATGTTATGAATATACAAAACTTTTATCTCCTTTCAAATAAAGAAAGCAATAGAGTTGAAAATTATCAATTCAAAAAAATTATCATAATGAAATGAATTAATTAGAAGCAAATTGGTTTATTAAAGAATATGGGAAATAGCATAAAAATATAATAATAATCTATGAATAATATGTTAATAAAAAATAGATATGTCAGAGAAATACACTAAATTTCAGCATCTATCTTTTCAGACAGGGATAACTATTAATCATCATGATAGCTTATTGATAGATATAAAATAAATATATCAAAAAAATGAAGTATTTTATAATTATGGTTTATTATTATTTTTTATTTATTTAATGTTTTCGGGTTAAAGCGAATTCGATCTAAGAGTTTTTTTATCCTCTTATTCAGATGCTCTGCATTGTCTAAAATAATCAGCTGATAAATCTACTTTAAGAAAAAACTATGAAAATATTGCTAATCGACTTACGATTTATGTGAAACAAAAGAAGGTATTTTGAATACCTTAATATAGATGTTTGGTGAAGTAAATATATCTAAAAATGAAGAGAGAGATATTTTAGCATTTCAATATACACAGTAAAATATCAAAGATGTATAAAAATAGTTATATATTTTTAAAATATTTACCGGATTTCGACAATTTTAAGGGGAATTATGAATAGTTGTAGACAATCCTAAATAATTCATTTAATTCTCTATCTTCAGATTTTTAGCTTTATTCATAATAATCATAATAATAATAAGCACAATGATTTGAATATAAGTATTTATGTGATAAAAATCATATTATAATAAGATCATCATCCTCATCTCTAAATCCAGTGTTGTGGTTTGGATATTGAGAATTTTAAGGTGTTTTCTTTTTCAAACATTTCGTTTTTAATTAGTAAACCCAGTTACCAATTATTTTTTAAGGAGGTACAACAGCTAATTTATTGGTTTTGATAAATGAGGACATTTTTTCGGCCACTTTATACATAAACTAATTTGATTCTTTCATTGAAGAGACAAAATTTTAGCTTAAAGTTAATTCCTATTTTGATTTAATTTATGTTATAGTTCTTCAAAATAGAAAAAAACTAAATTACTTTTGTGTAAATTGGTAAAGGGTCTTAAAACTATTATAAGTAGTTTTAGTTAAGGATAAATTTGATAATTATTATGATAATTATTTTTTTTGATCTTTATTAGAATTAACCTTTTTGAGTCTATCATAAAGTGTAACACTCTAATTCCTACGTGGATCCTCTTGATTAAAGGAATTTTGATATTCTAATAGATCTGGTTGTGATTATGTGTGAGTATTAGGCGTTTTATCAACAATGAACATTATTATTTATTAATATTTAATTATGTAACAATAATTAATAAAGCCTCAATCTAAAGAACATGCAATGCAAATTTTGTAATCAGGATTTTAGCTGTATTAACATTAAGGACACATGAGTTTCAACGAAAATGCTATTGTAATTTAATAACCAGAAAGAATGAGTTTCAACGATTAGAAGATGAAATCACATCCAAAAGTTCATAATGTTTTTGAAAATCAAAAGAGAACCAGAATTAATTAACATTAAATTGAGCAAAGTATAGTTGGAAATAAATTTGAAATTCCTGTTTTGCCATCGGGTAAATATCTCAAATTTAATGTTCTTTCAAATTGGGGAGATAAATAACAAGTTGGTCTTAATGGAATTGAAGTGTTTGACTCATAAGGTGGTAATATAACTAGATATATTAAAATGCCTATGCAAGATGAGTACATAGAGAAATTAAAGTTGATAGACGGTTACTAAGCAGTTAAAGACGATAAACATATTTGGAAAACAAAGAACTTGAAACCTGAAATCATTATTGATTTAACTGCAAATATAAAAGTCTCATTGATAAGAATTTGGAACTACAATAAATCCAGGATTCGATCCTATAAAGGTGTTAGATTGTTAAAGATTACTTTAGATGAAAGATTAGTAAACTATTTATGTAATATTTTAGTTAGATATTTTATGGAGATATTTAGAAAGCAACTGGAGATCTAAAGAAGTTCTAAGATAATTGTGAATACATATTATTCACATAGGATTCTAAAATTATAAGTAGAATAGCTGAATTAGATTGGCTGAACAAAAGAGCCGAAGACTATTCTATTTAAATTCTATAGTAAACTATGAGTATGAAATAAATTCGACCAAATACTGGTACAAAGTTACAGTCATAGAAACCAAGATAATAACAATAATAAAATGATTAATCGCCGTCCTCAAAATTATACTCATCAAGAATTTATTAATAAAGCAATAAAGAATAGGAGTAAGCAGCAATATAATAAAGATCATAGCCATAATAAAAAGAGTAAGAAATCTATAAACCTTCAAATAAATAAGAGAAAGTATAAATGCAATACCCTGAATACATATCTGTTTTTGATATATTATTAGAATTCAATAATGGGTCAAAACGATTCCTGGGATTAAATGGAATATTATTAATTGATTATAATAACAAATAGATTCATTAAGAAGAGATATAAGATTCTAATCTAACTGAATACGAAATATAACGACTATTCTATTCTAATAATCCAACCTAGATTGATTCATCCAATATGATTTGGATAAAATAAAAGAGAATTTATATCAAATTCAAGCAACAAACAAAATTATCAATGATTAAATTTTATAATTGCAACCAAATTGTTAGTGAATCTACATTTACTGGACCAGAAATAGTCAAAATTACTTATAATGGAAGGTTCAAAATATTTAGTAATTATATTGCTATATCTAATAGATTTGAGACCTGCACCATGTGAAGAAATTAATTTTGTTTAAACTATTTAACTAACTTAACCAAACAATAATTCTTATTCAGGCAATCTTGTGGCTAATTATGAATTATTTCATTCCAATTATGTCATTGCTTATCCTCCTTGTGGAATGATAGTCACTATTTATTTGATTAATACTTGGGGAGATAACAATTATGTCGGTTTAAATGGACTAGAAATTTATGATCACCAAGGTTCAGCCTTATTATAAAGAAAACTCATACCTTATACTATTCATTCTGTTCCATAAGTATTTCGATTAATATTATTTTAGTTAGAAGATGATCCAAGAGTTGTCTAAAACTTAGTAATTCCTCCATATGATATTAATTGTTAACCTTAAAGAAGCTTCTTGGCTCCATTTATTAATACTCCGATGGAAAAGTTAAAAAATAAGAATGCCATCATTATCCAAAAGGCAAGGGATTTAGAGAAATAAGATATCAATAAGATCTATGTATTATTTGATAAACTTACTTGTTTCAGCGGAATAGACTTTTATAATTATACGAAAGATTGGTAAAGAGGAGTGAAGGAAGTCCACATATATGTTAATAATCGATTGATTTATTAAGTATTTTATCTCAATTTATACTTAGGGAAACATTAATCAGACTTTTCAAGACATAAAAAAGAACATATATAATAAAACAACTATATTATTTTCAGATTCCAATTAAATTAAGTAATAATTAAATCCACACTTTTATCAATTTCCAGATGAGTAAGTATCTTTGATTGATGAAAACAAATAATTAACCTAAAGAGAATATTAGTAATATTACTCCCAATAATTGATTAGACCTAAAACAAGTATTCAATCATGAAATTGCTTACATTTAATATATCCTATATATTTTATTGAAAATTAAGTTTATTATACTCTTAACTTATCTAATTAAATAAATCAATTTTGAATGATTAATATATCTAAGTTGCTAAATGAAGGTTTATAATCATCAACTTTAATACTATAAAAATTTATGAAATAAAAACTAAAGATATGAACTATTCTTAATTTTCGATGTAATTATCTTATCAAATTCTAATACTAAGAGATATGAAGTTATATGTTTACTATTAATAATATATATCATTGAAATTAAATAGATTTTAGAGATAGTAATTCTACTAACATAAAATTAGATAACCGTAAGCTTATAATTTAATATATAATAAAACAAAATAATAAGATGAATATTAATATGGTAACTCTTCTAATTCATAAGAGAATTGATATATATTATATTGAAAAATTATATAAAAATATCCTGTTAATAACAATAATATAATTATTTAATTATGCAATAATATTTAAAGAGAGTAAAGAAGAGAATTCAAGAATAGTGGATTAAATATATTTTCATTTTGATAATATTGGTAATAGCTATGTTTAGAAATTATGCAAATCAAAAAATTTCAGACGAAGAACCTGTAAAATTAACAGAAGAATAGATCGCAAAAACTGAATAATATAAGTAGGAAACAATAATGCAATATGGTATAATGTGTGCAGTATTTATTGGCATCCTGGTTTTCATATAGACGTTAAATAATAAATATGAAAAGCCTAAGGAAAAAGAAAAAGAGCAATGAAAGTTAAGTGTATATAATCAATAATTATTGTTATTTAACATATATGTTAATTTTTATATTCAATAACAACTCTTCCTAAATTTAAGAATTTTCTAGAACAATGGTTTTAGGTTTTATAGTAAATCTAGTTATTTGGATTGGATGTCTACAATATTGATTTTCTTTTATTATTCTAGAAAGTATTTCTCAAATTGTATGATTTTATGGAACTTAATTTATTTATCAAAGTTCAAATTAAATTTATTGGATTATGATTAATCGATCTTTAAATAAAAATGAGTTTGAAGATGATATAAGAAAATAAAATAATAACGATTATTTATAAATCAATCGTTGCCTTATTTAAATGATTGAATTCCATTCCAAAATGATCCTAAACTTCCTATAAATCCATCATGTTTTATAAAATAAGGCTATATTAGAATGATGTTGTTACGTGTCTATTTTACTAATCTAATTTTGAGAAGTAGGAGAAAGCTTCGTTAATGCATTGTAATGTTTCTTCATGATTTCTTATGAAATGTCCGGAAAAGAATACTCTTTCAATATTATGTAACTTTGAATGCAGGAAGGCTATTTGGCTGATGTTGTAAGTAGTCATATAAAGTAAAGATTTGACTAGATCCGATTTATTAATATTTATATTTTAATCTAATTTTCCCATACTGACTGCTACATGCTTTTCATTTTTGTTTCTTGTTGGAGATTAAAATCCTAAATGAACTTCATCCATCAATAAATCTGTATGTGCATTAGAACCTTATTTAGTCATTTTTAATAATTCATCGAAATCATTAATGCCAGTAAACAGATGACTCAATCCCAAAAACATTCCACCTCCTAAAGATGTGCCTGAGATTCTGGCAAATTGATCTTCATTGTCAAATTTTAATATGCTAACTCCACTTCCTATATTAACCAATATAAATGGGTAAATTGAAGCCTAAAAATAAGTTGATATTAATTATACCGTCAACTACAAATATTCAATACCATTATTAAAAGTAAAGTATGTATTTTTGCATTTAATGCTATCTAACAATTTAAACCCGAATTTTAGAGCATCAAATTCATTAATCCTGATGATTTTTCCATAATTGGAAATTTAATCATAATACTTAAATGATCCTCCTCCTGTGATATAAAAATTTTAGATATACGACTTTCCATCCACGATGAAGCCAATTCCTTCCAAATTTTCAATCAACTTATCTAATGAATTGGGATGAGAGATAAAATGGATTTCATAATCCTCAGTCTCATTTATGACTATTAAGAATAAAATTATTTCTAATACTGTTGAGTTCTTTTTTAGTTTGACATTTTAAACTAACCCCTTTCTTAGTTGCAAATGTTAATTTCGTTAATGTTCCCCCAATGTCTAAGCAAACGATAGGTATTAAATTTTAAGAAAATGATGGATTATTTTACATCTTATTAATAATATTCAAAATAATGAAAAAAATGAATGATTATTGAAACTCTATATTATACATACTATGGAATAGCAGAAAAGTTATAATTTTTATAGTTAATCATATTTAAGATAAGATCTGATCTATGAGAATAATTTAGAGGTTCAAGACTATTACTTTTAATTGATTGAGAGTTATTAATAAGATTCATTTTATAAATATTTCATAAATGGCTAGGCTAATTTAATAAGAATCGATGGTTTGATTTAGTAAAATGATATTAAATACAGGTGCCTAAATAAATTTTGAGTATATTATAATAATATTAATGCTTTCAACATAAGTGTTTAATTCTTTTGCTTAAAGATAAAGCAATGGAATAATCAAACTATTGGCATGTGGTGTGTTCTTCGGAGGTGCTTATGGTTGTGCATGGCATTAATGGAAAGGAGGATAACAAAAATAATTATATGAGAAAGTTGAGAACGAAATTACAGAATGGAAACCTATTAGCATAAATGGACTGAATGCAAGCAGATATCCATGGGCTTAAAATATAAGAAATTGGGAGTATAAGTTAGTGAAATTGTATGGATATTTCAGAGTAAGGGATGTTTGTTATGAAAGGATGAAAGATTTTTTGTGAGAAGAGAAAGAGAAGGCAGAGATGGATTCCTTGTATTTGCCCCTTTTGTAACAGCATTGCAATTTAATGATACTGAACAAGATCCAGAATAAACTACAAAATCATAAGTGATGGTAAATTTAGGATGGGTGCCCAAGGATAACATAAGCGATATCTAAATGGGTTAAGAACCTATTGGAACAACAGTACAATGATTTGTATTCCATAAGACCTATGATAATGTGCCTCATAATGAGGATGATGATTAATTGACAGGTTTCAATAGAAATATTGCCAATATGGAGGAAGATTATCAAATGCCATTTGTAGAATTTGTAGGTATGGTGAGAAGGGGAGAAGAGGAAGACATATTAAAAGGAAGAAGAAATTGGCCAAGAGAAGGAGTCTACAATTACATAGACTTATGGTTCATGTCTAGATTATACAGATCATTCAATTTAGTAAAAGATCATATTAAAATAGACTGATTCATCAACTGCATACATTGAAAGATTAGTATAGGAATACGATGAAGAATCTGCTAACTTATATCCTATTCCTGCAACCAAAGATAACTTTGATAAGCCTCTACCTACTCCCTAGACTCATTAAGCATATTCATTGTTTTTTGGATTGTCATCAATAATGTCATTAGCTCTATTGGCTATAAGAAGATGATCAGATGTATCATAAACGCAATAATAATAACATATAAATTATTTATCACTCTATGTTGTACATCTATCCTTATGTTTAATATTTATTCTAATCTTTGCATTTATTTCCATGATATCTCATAACCAAATTTGATTATTAATAATTCAAAAATTAAGAAATAATTATCAATTAGTTTTATCAAGTTCATAATTCAAAATTTAAATTAATATTATAGTTATTAAATGAGAATCTCGAAAGGGTCTTTGAGAGTTGAAATAAATATTGAATTAGTCATTTATAATATAATAATATATAAAGAATTATCTGTCATACTTTTTTATATTTAGATTCCTTTTCAAAAGAATTTAGAATCTTTTTTTTTATGCTAGTTAAAAAATACTATGTTTTAGCATAGATCCCTTAATTCTTTTTGACTGACTAGAAATAATGAGATAGATATCATACGTCTTATTAATGCTATTTCAACTTAACGATATTTTCGTCTTGTATTTATTGCAACTTCATCATTTGCTTTTACATCTACTCATATTTCTCATTTGATATATGCCAATGAGCAGAACTCCCTCTTCTGTTGAATCTGTTTTGGGAAAACTACTTCGCAATATCTAAGACTCTCTATTTCATCCTCCCAAATATTTAATTCTATGATAAGTTCTATTACTAAAATTAATGCTGCGATACTTTCTAATTACATTAAATTACTTGATTACTTCTAAGTTTTCTGCCCAATGAGGTACCTTCTTATTGTTACAATAAAGTCTCTTTTTCTTTGGAGTATGCTAATTCTTGTTTTCTATATTTTATATATTAGTATGGATGTTTTAACTGTTGGCACAGAAATCTTCAGGAAATGGAAAATCAAATACTGATGATTAGAATTGAAACCCACAATCTTAGATTATATTATCATCCCGAAAACTACTACTTCTCCATTTATAGGAATGATGATCCAAATTTGAAGATTCGTTTGTATTATATGAAGTAGCTCGATATTCAACTGAAGAACTCTCGTACCACTCTGATTTATTAGGAGAATCCATGAGTTGTTGTTCTTCATCTTATTCATAGATGACTATTTGCTGTTTATCTGAATATACTAATACATCTTTATGACTTGAGGATTATTTTTATTCATCATAAATTTCTATTGATTTCAATTTAGGAATTAATTCTTCTGGATCTACTGATTCTATTAATTTCATTAACTCTCTTTCAATTTTGCTCTCTGCTTCTTCATGCTATTTGTCAACTTTTATCTAGGAGAGTTGTTACTACAACAAGGATGGTTTTCTTATCTACTTCGGAGTGCCATCTTCTCCTGCATTTACATAGCATTTAGGATATTCTTCAGATAAAATATTGTGAGATTTTAATATGCTCTATTCTCTCAATCCATTTACTGATTTCAAGATCAAATTCTTGGGAGAATTTTCTTTTGACTTTTAATTTTCCATCACTTCAACATGAAAACAATTAGCTTAAATATTCTTCTTGAACTATTCAACAGCACACTCTTTTGTTTTTGAATCCTTCTAAAATTCATCTTCCTGTTCTTCTGTCACTGCTTCCAAATGTGACTGTTTCTAAGAGCACATCATTAAACAATTTAATATCTTCATAGTTTAACCTACTGTCTCTAATACACTGTTTGTTACTAAAGTCATTCTCTATTGAGTTTGTATTGTAATAGAGGATGCTGCTGCTGCAACATGAATTGATAGTGCTAATATTTCTTTTGAAATCTCTTAATTCATTTAAATTTAAAATAATAAATTAACAAGCGCAAAAATTAACCTATATTATTAATGAACAAAGTCAATATGAAAAGTAGACAATAAGTAGAAGATGAATTTGATCCTTTTTAAAGTGATAATAGCTATCAAAGCGATGAAGATAATCAACCTGTCATTATGAACTTTTTAGAGGACATTAAAGGGCATCTAGAAGGGGACATTAGTTTTGAGACTAATGAACATGATATTTATGATCCTGCATTCTCATAAACCATTAGTCATAGAATCAAAGATCATTAAGACACGGCGTTTTAGAAGTAAAAATTTAAATCTAATGTTCAATCTATTAAATCATGCAATTCCATTAATATCATTTGTTCATTAGAAATATTTCAATAACAACTAGAATTTAAGCATACTTAGAGTCTTCCAGATCAATAGAATTTGTAAAAACTTTCCAATTCTAAATAATAACAGCTAAATTTTTTATGGGGAAAAATTAGATAAAATAATAAGGATAAAGAAAAATGACACTTAAAATATTCTGTACATCATTTTATGGATAAATAAAAGTTGTGTTCTCAAGGATAATAAAATTAACATATATTATATTAATATAGATTGTGTAAATTCATTATCCATTTTTCATATTTGGATTAAAAATTTATTATTATTATTATTATTATTATTATTATTACCAATAAAACATCTACATTTATTATTCTTAAGTCATCGTTCCATAATTCAGATAAGTCTAATCTTAATAATATAATTATGGCATTTATTACAATAATAACTATTGCTATTATTAATAATACATCATCTATTACATCATAGCCACTTAAAATTATTGCTACATTTATTACTATTAAGCCTATTTTAATCCATTCTCAAATAATTATTATTTTTAAATATTATTATTACTTATGTTTTATCTAGAACTCTAAGATTATGGATTCTATTTTTTCTATTTATTTTTATTCTGTTAATTCTTATCATTTTATATTATCTTTTAAGTGTATTTTTTAACATTCTAATTTGCCAAAGCAAACTTTAATACAATCTAACCATGATTGTTTAACTAATTGTTGTCACTCAATCGATTTAAAAGAGCCAAATATTCCTATCTTAATGTTTAATCTAAATATTCAAATAATCTCTGTATAGGATAATTAGCAAACTAATCATTCACTAATTTCTTAAATGAGCTATAATAATAAACATCAGCTACCTTTCTGAAATGGATACTTCTTCCCATAATCGTGTCCTCCATTAAGAGCCTCCATATACTATGACCTTCTCTGCTACATTACTACCATATTTATCCATTGACATCGGCATAAAATCCTTAATGAGGTACTAATCCATCAACAATCTCTTATGTATCTCTTAGCCCTTCTCCAAAATTGATTAAATAATATAATTAGCATATTGTCTTCGTGTAAGTCCAGAACTATTATGAATTGCTCTGATTATGATATCATTACATAATGTCTTAGTTTAAATGTCGAATTGTTTAGGATAGATATCGATAATCTTATTAACAATTAAACATCCATATTAGTCAATTGATAATTCAAATTTTTCATGGTTGTTATTTAGAATCTATCATTCAATTTGATATTATACATATTTTGACAACACCTAAAGAAGTTTTAACAGATGATTCCCTTCTAACACCTCCAGACTCTTTTAGATAATTTGATTTGCAATCTTGTCTACATACAATCTTCTCATCTAAGAGTTATCTGAATGAATGAAATTGAGATAATTGTCTAATTAATAAGGATAATCTTAAGGATTTTGGATCATCACTTCCAATCCCTTTTGAATTACTTTACAAGCATAGAGGTCTTTTATTAATTTATTTATGGATTAAAACAATCTATCAAGTATAATGTTTTTGTGTTAAAGAAGACCTAATGGTATTTTGATTACTAGTACCAACTTCAAGTATTTTTTCAAGAAGGAAATGTTAGTACTTATCCAAACTTATATTTTCTATTTCAGCTTTTACGAATGTGTTAAAGACATATTCTTTTTCTTTTAAGTTAGCATTTTAATATTCCAATTGCATTTTTCGAGAATTTTTTGTCAACTTCTCGTGACTTAAGTATGATGACCTAATAGATTTACCATTCAATAGTACATGTCAGCTTAAAATGCTGATACAAGAGAAGGTCTTTATGAGTCATTAATCAATACTTAATCTAATTATTAGTTAATTTCATCGAATAAATCATCTATTAAGACATAAAAATGATAATAACCTTCTTTATCTAATAGTTGATCTTCAAAAAATGCTGCACTAAATGCCTTTGTAGCATTAGTATTCTCAAACAGTGTAGGAGTTGCAGTTGAACCACTTTGGGATGGATGGCATTTCAATTCTTCCTCCTCCTTATTGAATTCCTAAGGGACATATGGTTGAGCCATGGATTGAGTTTTATAAAATAATTTATATTTTTTATAAAATTCCAGCTTAAAATTCAATTTGAAAGAATAAAGAAAATCTTAAAATTTTTTATTCATAAAATTATTTTATTTATTTCCATAATAAGCAAGAGAACTATTTATGTTAAATGATAATGTCAAATTAATTGCAAATTTATATATAATAATTTACAATTAATACCAACTTAAAACTTAGACATTAATTCTAACGACATTATTTACAGATTTTTTCAACTCTATATAATAGAATAAATAATGTAAAGTCATTCTAGAAGTTCCAATTAAAGAGTGGAGGTGATAAAAATATCAAAAAATTTTATCCCCCTAAAGCTATTGATGTGTTATTTATTATTATATTTAAATATTATTCAATGCGTAATCTAACCCCAGATAAAGCTTTCAGAATTAAAAAGCAAAGTATTTTCGAGCTCAATTTTAGTGAAGAACCTAAATCAACCAAAATTCATAGTCGATAAATTAATCAAAAACCTGTGGAAACTTAATTTTAGGCATACACAAAAAATAAAGTGATTAAGCTGAAGGACACCCCTCATACTCATAGCAAAATCTAATCTCTTAAGTCAAAACTTGTTAGAATATTTAAGGATAATAAAGAGTAATCATCGCTTGAAATTTTAACAGAATAAAAAGGAAAATCATTTTTAGAAGAATTAAAGGAACCTCCTATGCTTAATCTGTAAGGCTTATAACGTATGGCTAATTCTAATGAAAACAATCCATTTTTCCTTAATCGTCCTCGGAACCCCAAATAATTTAGAAAATGTTATTTTCGATATCCTACTGATGCTATAGAAAAATTAGATAGAAGTACTATTGTCACTCCTCAGCCACTCCTACGTAGGTATACAGCTTTACTAAAGCCAAGAGTAAGAATTTCAGAATAATGGAATGAATTAAATGGTTGGCAAACAAAGGACGAGTCCATTACAAATTTATTTTGATTTAAGCTTTTGTAAAATATAAAATTACTTTACTAAATACAAATAAAAACATATTATACTATATTTATTAGTTGGTTTATAAAAATAAGAAACATGTAAGTATATTATTATATTTATCAATAATTATTGAGGCTAGAATATTCCTTATAACTTATTTACTTTGATTTATTAAAAATTATAAATGATATTTTGTTTTTCTTTCAAACATTGATATTGAATTCTATCGTTACATCGAATTCAAAATCAATTACAATAGTTATGGAAATGTCAGTTCATAATATTATCATCAGGTATTTCATATTTATTATTGTCTCTGGTCGAATTTCCAATTGGCATTGATTATTTTGAAATTCCTTTGTGAAAATATTTACATTAAGTCAAAAAGTTATTGTTTAACATTTTTAACAAAATCATATAACTAATCATTATTTGAATTTGTGAAAAAAAGAACTGCAATTATTAGATGTAAATGATTTTTTGATATCTATGAGCTCTCAACTTATATATTATCATAAATTTATAAATATCATCTTTTTAATATGAGATTTATTTGAGGAGAGATCCTAATTTTGGATGGACGTTACCTAGAAAACAAATAATTGTTTTATGGATTTCAATCTTAATAATATAAAATCAATAAGTGATCACTAAATTCCTATATTAAAGAGATTATTAATCCTCAAAATTGAAGATTATCATTTAATTAAATTTTTGCCTTGCTTAATAATTAGTCATTATTAAATCATTCAATCTTAATCGTGAATAAAAACGAAAAATTTTTGATAATCCTTTGTGTTATTGAGAGTTATTTTTAAGTAAAATATTGAAAACACCACGAATTATTATTTATTTTTTTCGATCAATTAATTCTACTTTGTTTCTTCTTCTTTTTTATACTCTGCATATTTAATAATTTATCCTTTCATCCAACTATTCTTAGAACTTTTTATTAATTATTATTTATAATTTAATTACGAACTTCGTTTCATAATAATATATTATATTATGAACCAATAAAACAAATTTTATTAATAATTTTGTTAATCTGCATCTTTTCCTAAGATCGGTAAATTAAAGTCAATAATCTAAAAATCAGTGAAAAATTAATTACCCTAAAGTGATTGTAAGAGGTAATTGTTTCTATTAATAATTTCGTCATAAATATTTGGTACTAATATTTACACTCATTAATAATATATTTTTGTTTAAATTCCTATAGAACCACAAAATACATGTTGAAATTGTTTTTTCATCTAAAATTATTGGATTGCAATTATGAAAACGTAAAATATATATATTTTATTGCAACATAATAATTTATACTTGTAACATTTATTTTACTTAGTTTGAGACATAAATATCATTTAATTTGTAATTATCATGTATGATGATTTTGACAGAAAAGATATATTATCTAACAGGATAATTAAATATATTATTAAATTATGTATAAAGATTTAAAAGCAATAAATCATTTTTGATTATATGATTCATACAGTATAGGTCAATAATAGGCTCCAAAGGCTTCATAAGTGAGTAAATTAAGTTTATTAGATTAGAGTTTGTGTTGTTTCAATTTTCGTCTTTATACTATAGGATTTTTAGTGATGGAGTACATTGGTCTTTCTTTTGATTTTGAATCATTGCTCTCATCCGAATTTGATGAATAATTCATGATTGAACTTCTGGTGTTTGCATTTTACCAAGTACTATTTTCATGGAATCGATCCGAGTTAGCATTTCCCATCTTTACTTGTTTAATATTAAATATAATTAAAAATTAAATTATTTGAATTGTAAAAAATGTCAAACAATGACGCATCAGATCATTATTAAATATGTGCTTAGTTTTATCCTTACTATAATAATTCAAGATTAAAGTCCTCATTTTCCTCAGAATTAATAATATTATCAGTTCTCTTTTAAATACTTTCATCTTCAGGATCATCAACTTCTATAATACATAAATCTATTGATATATTTACATTAATATTTGTATCTTGGAATACTTGCTGTAGGTTTCATATAATTAGGTTCTTTATAATCTTCATAATCAACAACTTCTGGTTTGTTAATAACACTTTTTAATTATTGGTATGCCTTAGTTAAATCCAATACTGGTCTTCCAGAGGAATTTTAATTTTAATCATATTCTTTGCTATCACCTAGTATTTCTTAGGCTAATTTTTTAAATTCTTCATAAGATTATGGTTTTTAATTATTGTTTAACAATTAATATTGTTACTGTATTTTTTATTATTGTTATTTAATTTGTTAATTTTCAGTTACAAACATGTTGTCCTCTTAATTCTCATCAATTTGAGATTATTCCTCTTCATTTTATAACAAGAACCCATCCTTAGATTGTTCGATGACTGGTAATTTAAGAATATCATTTTCAACTCTCTTTAATTATTCAAATTTACAAGGAGGTTTCTTGACCTTAGGTTTCTTAAGATAAGACTTTTCGATTTCTTCATTTATCAAAATACCTCCTGTTCTGGCATGAATTTCCATTTCCAAACCTTAATGATCTCTGGTAATTCCAAATGGATTTCCTGTAATAATAATTTTCTTGAGATTAGTGAAATTACGAGCACATATTAGATTATGCTAATTTTCAGCAATATTATAAGAGAAATCTAAAGTTTCTAATTTATTGAAATATCCAACAACCAACCTTTCAGTATGAATACCTCTTAAGAAATTCTTACTAATATTTAGCGTTTTAAGTTCAGGTATCTATCCTAAAACTTCCCATAAGACTGAAGCTGTTTGATTAGATTAAAATGCATTATCACTAATGTCTAACAATTCTAACTTTGTGAATTCTGCCATATCAGTTGGCAATTCAAGTAATTCATTTCTAACTAAATAAAGTTCCTTCAATTCTGTAATATGTTTTAAGGAACTTATGGCTTCTTTGTTTAAATAGTTAAATGATAAATCAAGATGTTATAATGACTCAAAAGTATTTTTATGAGAGATTTCTATATTTCTAATGTTGTTTGCACAAATCTTTAAATTTTTTAATGCTGGGAATGGAGTCAAATCTTCTAATAGTAATTAATTCTCAGAGACATCCAAATCTTACAAATTCAGAAAATATTGAAAATCCTCAGGTTTACTACTTTATATACGTAGTCCTAAATAGGTTATACAAATACTAAACTTGATAAATTTGCTCTGATTATTTCATGTGGATTATCATTATTGGTTACATTAATCATCAAGAAACCGTCTAAACATTTCACTCTCATAACAGTGTCATCAGGAATATAGTAGATTTTTGTTTTAAAAGGATTTTTAGTATGAGCCTTTCTTTTCTTCTTTCCAAGCAATGGCAATTGGAAATGGTTCATTTTACTATAAGCTATTGGAAATGGTATTTAAGAGTTGGCTTTATTTTTCATAATTAATGATTATTATTATGTTGTTAATTTGAAATAATGTAAAGATCAATTGGTTATATAAAGAATAGAACCAAAGAATTGCAATTGAAGAAATAAAAATACAAATCCCTCCATCCAAATAGTAGTCGAAGAATATACAAACTACCTCCTAAATGAGTGGACAAAATGGAAGAGACTAGAGACACTATTCAAAAGGTTGGAATTTTAAACTAGGAAATTGAGAAGTTAAAGACATCTAAGGATGTGGGACCCAAAGCATAATTCAATGAATAAATAGTACAAGGAAAACTTGATTAGCATTGCAGGTTTAAATCTGAGTATAGTAGATGATTAGAGATATTGAAGAAAATCTACAAATTATGGAAACTGATGATTGCGACAATGATCTTGAATATAAAATCAAATAAAATGCCAAAATGTGCTTGGGCATATCCTTAAAAAAAGTCACTCCATAATTAAGAAATTATCAACATTAAATGTTGAGGTAATTACAACGAGAAAGACCATCATAAAACTTAAAAGTTGATTTTGAATAGGAATATATTGAAACATTAATTTTAGATAGAAATGATAGAATTAAATAATTAGGAGAAAAATTGAAAAAAATGAATGAGTTGTTTAAAGAAATGAATAGACTAGTTATAGAACAAGGAACTTTGTTAGATCGAATTGATTTCAACATAGATCAAACATTCACAAGAATTAAAAAAGGAAAAGATTAGTTAGTCTAAGCAAGTACAAAATAGTAAATTAGTGACAGAGCTTAAAAGTGTATTTTTATATTAGTTGGATTAAATATGTTTATAGCTTTTCTATTTGTAATAAAATATACATTATTATGACTATATATATCAAATAAAATATATATAATGATTATAACAAAAAAAAAAATGTATCTTTGATAAAGTGAAAAACATGATAATTAAAAAACCAACTTAAATAGGAACTATTTCTTTTTTATTTGAAAAAAATTAGAATTTTGACTTCTTGAAAATTCCTTTTCTACTTCTTCAATTATAAAAATGAAAGAATAATTATGTATTAAGAAAAAAAAAATTAATAAAATCAAAATATTTTGCGATGGATCAATAATAACTCCATAACTACTATTACTATTAATATTCTAAATTCCCTCTCTGAAAAATTAAATCTAGTTTATTAATTTATTAATGTGATATTATGTATTATATTATATAGAATTGAATGTAAATTTTATACATAAAACTTAAAGTGTTTATATAAAAATGCAATTAAACAATGTATGTTCATAAAAAGCAAACTTCAGAAGGGAGATTTGAATTTACAGGTTTCAACACTTTTAATCCTAAGAATAAGATAAAATAATACTTAGATTCTAAATTCTCAGATTTATAGAAAAATGGATGGTCTAAACATTATATAACATCATATCTATTTTCTTAAAAATCAAGCATTTTAAATAATAGTGATTATGCCTTGCTTTCTTTAACATTTCTATAATCAATAGCGAACAAATTATTTTTTGATAATCTAATAATTTATTATCTATTTAAATTTCTATCGAACATAGGATTTCCTGTTAATATCATATGAAACACTTAAGCTAAGCTGTATATATCACATTTCTAATTGTAGAACTATCCATTAATTATTTCAGGAGCAAAGTATCCGATAGTTCCACATTTTTCGCATAAATAATTTAAATTATCTTTGAATGCTGAAAATCCAAAATCAATGATCCTAACACTTTTATGATCATTTATTTCTTCCAACATAATGTTATCCATCTTGATATCTCTGTGTATAATACCCAAACCATGAATATGATTTAACCCAGATAAAATTTTTTTCATTATAGTCTTCACCTTAATCTTACTTAAGTCCTTAGAATTAGAATTTACAAGTTAATTTAAAGTGCCTCCAGAAAAGTAAGGGTAAATGAAGATAATAAGATCATTTTCCTAATAGTATTCAACCATACTCGCCACATTTTCATGAGGATTTTAGGCGATGTGCAAATTAATTTAAAGTTCTCTCTCTATTAGAAAATGATTAATTTTTTGTATTTTAGCAGCAAATATTTCATTATTATCTCTTTTTCGACATTTGATAATCTTATAAAATATTAGGAATTACATACCTCCCCATTTTGTATTTTTTTAATAGTTTCAAGTTTTTGATAGTTATAATTAAAATTATCCTATCCGACTTTTGTCATAAGGGCTTGATGTCCTAATCTCCCACTATGCAAGTCAAAAAGAAATTTATCCTGAAATTTCTGCTTATAATTAAAGGTTACTTCATAGAAATCCTCACTATAAAAATTAATATGATATATACTGCTTAATCCAATTCATTAATTTTATATCATCAATGTCGATTGTCAGGATTTTATTATATTTTTTCTATTTATTATAAAAACATAAAGTACTTCTAAAATTTCGATGTTATTTTCCCTAATTTTGAGTTATGAGGTTTCAGAAACTGAAATAGGTCGAGTTGATGGTTTTGAGTCTGTTTGAGATTACTCTAAATTACTAGGTTCTGTGATTTTCATAATTTATTTGTAAATTTAATTAATAAGTAGTAAAAAAAAATCCCCAGAATATAAATTTATGATGATTTAGCGTTCTGAATAAAAAGGCTTTTCTCTAATATTCACACATTCAATAAGTAAATTATATCTATATATTTCCTATTCCAACAGTTCATTAGTAAGAGTCAGTATTTAAAAAAGGTCAGTATCAATAATAATCTTAACTCATATACCATAATTTAGTTATTTCTACCTTCAAAGAGAATGCTGCAATGTATATTAGGATTTAATTAAGTGTTCTTGGCTAAGTTCAGTTTTTTCATAAATAAAAATAATTCTGTTTTTTTAAGAAAATTATTGCTTTCTTTTCATATATTGATGGTTTTTAGAAATTTAATAATTTAATCATGCTCAAAAACTATAATGCATTTATAGCAAAACATCTTTCAAAGTTAAGAAATCAGTTATAAAGGTTAAAAAATAAGGTCATTAAAATTTACATGCGAATATCAATTAAATAAGATGTGTTTTATCAAAAATTTCAGAATAATTAGATTGAAGTAACCTTTTATAAATTTATATAATATGAATTTCGATTTTATAATATTACTATAATAATGGAGAGGAGTAATGAATAAGAATGATGGAGAACAATTTTTTAAACGCTAGTGCTATAATGATTATAATAATCCCATGTATTAAATTTATCATTCGTATAAATAGTTATTGAATTTAGAATTTAAAGAAATTTTTAAATTATATTTAATTCACTTAAAAATTAATTCACATTCAGTGCAAAATTAAGGTACATTTGATAATATTGTGATTTTCCCACACTCTAGGTTGTATTTTTATTAATAATCCTTGATTACTTCTAAAAATATATTAATTGCTTTAGTTCCATCATATGTTTTTAATTCCTCTTCATTAGTCAAACATTATTGAAGTATACCATAGATCAATATTGTAATTGAAGAGAGCCTTCTCTTTAGAAATGTCTCAACCAATCTAAAAATAGATGAAATATTTACATCTTTAAAAATACTTAGTATAATAAACATGACTTATTTCCATTTAAATTTTGAGGTGTAGAAATCAATAAAACTTGATAAATGTTATTAAATTTCAATTTATAGCCTTGAATTAAGAAGCTTTAACCGTATTCGATATCATCCTTCGTTTAGTAATACTTAATTTTATATTCTAATTCATTCTTAAAGGAAGGTCCTGCTAATTCGAAAAGCATTTTAACAACTCCAGAATTATAAGATTTAAGATCAATCGGACCTACTAAACAATCAGTTGGAGGAGCAGAGTCTAATTTTGATTGAATAATTTCCCTTAATCTTTCACCTTTAAAAATAATCTACAATATTTCAACATTTTCATCAAGAATATCAACAATATGTATAGACAGAGGTGTTTAAAAATTAAAATTTAGAATTGCTTAATAAAAGACTTCAGCACACTTAAATAATGGAAACCCGTAAATACCTGCAGAAATCATTGGAATTGCAATCGATGATAATTTCATTTCCTAACATTTTTGTAATCTATTGATTTAATTTTAAAATATACACATTTAAAATGCACTTATAAAGCTATTCTACTGATTTCTAAGGTTCTTATTAATTATAGGTAGGACTAGCAGCATGAAAAATATAGTTTGGTCCTTAAAACGACTTTAATTTGTAACTATTGGTAACCACTACCTCCGAAGTTTCAATTTAGTTTCTACCAAGTTTTTAAAAAATTTAATCGATTTCCTATTCTAATTGATATTCACCAGCAGCTCGAAAGATAGATCCACAAACTCCACCACCTTTCTAAAGGAGATTGTTAGCTGCATTTACAATGGCATCTATTCCTTTTATTTCAGTAATATCTTATTTATAAATGGAAACTGATATTCCATGCAACTTAAATTTTAGGGGATCTAAGTTATATGATGGATTATTTAATTACCTTTTTTAACAACAATCCAATTTTTATTATTAAAATTTATTTCACTCCAATTTAAACTATCAGGATACTTGTTGATTGCTTCCTTAAAAGCATTGATTGGAGTATCCTTAGGTAAATCATTTTAATCCTCTATTAAATTATTATATATGTCATCTAAGCATAGACAACATGTATAAAGCTTCAAACACTTTAAAGAGTATAACAGTCTTAGTTAATAATAATAAAAATTACATGTCTCGAAAACAATTAGCTAGTTATATCTGTCTTCCAACTGTCTTATCGTAATTTGGACAAAATACCAGTAGGACATAATTACAATCAAGAGTTGCCACATTTGTTCTTACTGATTGCAAGAAATGTTCTTTATCATTTTAAGCTAAATTCACGATATCTTCTAGTACAGTATATAAAGACTCTAATTTAATAAAAGAAGGTAAGCTTTATTTAAAATTGTATTTATTAACAGGAATGGCAACACAATCAATTTTAATTAATTTTAGTTCCTAAAATGAATCATCTTAATCTTTCTTTATTCTTTGATGCAAATTCTCTGATTTTTCAATTCTTTATTGAAATTATTAATCTGTATATTAAACTTTATTGAAATAAGAATCATTTGATTCCGATTTTATATCTTAACTTAAACCTTCTCCTTTTTGATCAAAAGGTT